TTTGAAGCCACGTGGCGAGATTGTGATGATTTCTTGATAGGAATAGGAGTACTCACAAGTGAAACGCCATATAAATGGATGGGAACTATTATTTCTGAAGACCATGACAAATTTCGTGGCAAAAATCGCAATGGCAAGCATAGTAAGGATTTGTATGGTTATTTTCTGAATTAGAAACGGAAGAAAAAATGTTGCCACTTGAACCGTATTCCATAAAGTCTGCGAATTTCACTGAAGAGGAAAACTGAATATTTTTGGATTTTAACCGAGAAGAATCTGTTCAAAATCCAAAATAATTCACGGAACCATGAGTGTACTGAGTGTGGGTGTGGGTAGAAGGCGAAGCAATCATCACCTCCTGAATCTCATTTTCAATTTTTATTTGAATTTTCAATTTCAACGGTTGGGTAACTACAGAAAATTTGTTTTTCAACATTTCATTAATATATTTACTAGATAGTTCTTAGCGTTTCAGACTAGAGTCAAACAAATCGACATTCGATGAGCGCTACTTGTTACTTTAGATACTCAGAAAAGTAACTAAGCGTCTAGAGCAGAATGCGGGGGGAGGGGCTGATTCGCTGCGTGAACAAATCTTAAGAGTAGGATGCGCTGTGTGAGTGGATGTCAGAGACCATCGGGAGATATCAAAACCTTGCAGAGTCACGGTCCTGAACGAATTTTAGTATAGGCAACAAATTCAATTGATGGAAAAGTAACGAATGATTGCAGCCGCACAACATACAGGAATGGGAGTAGAGACGGCTGCTCAAGATGATTGAACCATGGACTACAAGAAAGACCGTTGGCCGCTGGATAGCACTTCATTTCTCACCCTCGCGCAGTGGTTTGCACAATTGAATTTCATATGTGTAACATAAAGTATGCGACATTTGAAGGACCACCAATATTCTGATATGAATCAGAAGTGGGGATTCCTTCAGTCAGAGGTACTGAATCTACTGAAAATTTTGAAAATTTTCCCATGTTCAAGTGTAACCGCTATTTTTTCTCATCTATGCAATAGTGTAAAAATCTAAACAGATATGTTCTTCTTTCTCCAAAACTGAAAACAAAAAAAAGTTAGGAAGCACTACAGTGTTGTTTTGCCTTACCAAAGCAGTCAAAAATGCGAAATAAATGCATTGAAACGCTTATACTTTTTCTCTCCTGCAACACGTTTCGAACAGTTGCATTTGTTGCAATTATCGCGTTTTAGCAATGGTTTCTTTTCTTTCTTAGTAGTCATTTATTGAAGGTTTCACTTCGTAACGTTTTAATACGTTGACAATTCAACGCGTCAAAACGCGAAACGAGCGACAAATTCACCTATTCATAACTGTTCTTCGATAGCATCAAACAGTGTTATGACACCATCGTTTTCTTTCGTTATTTTCATCAATGCGTTTTTACCTGAAGAATGTGACTCATGCACAATGCATTGAAAGAAATCGTTACCAAGTTGTCGTCTCTGCCATTTTCATATTCCCAATACTAGCATAAGGACGATACCACGAAATAGTGCAGTATTAGGCACACCCATTGACTTCCAGCTATTGCTGTTAAAGATTGCGATACATAAAATTTTTTTCGACGCGCTATTTTAATCTAAAGCTATCTATCTGTAATTAGAAGTGTAGTCGGTTATTTAAAATGCTAATAGAATAGCAATGTCGAGAAAAACAGCAATAAAATATTTAATTCAAAAAGAAAAGCAGTCCAAGTTAGGAAAACGATTGAGACGTGTTCAGGGTTGCGAAAGCCCAATTTTAGAAATCAGGAGACTTTTTTCTCGAAATACGAAGGAAAACAGGAGAGTGTCACGTAGTCGGTTTTTGAAAAAGCAAAGCTTTTCACTCGCACAAATGTTTGTAACTTTGGTTCTGTACCAAGCAAGTAATGGAAAGGTCTGTCTTACTAATCGAAACAAAGAAAAACAGAAAAAGATAATTACATATAGTTTATTCTGCTGACATTTTCGCAGCTGTTTTCTTAAAAATACAAACAAAATACGTACAAAAACAAATTTTAAGAAACTGTCAAACAATCAAAGCAAAACATAGCAAATCGTTTCCTACGCTGTTCTTAGTACTTTTGCAACGTGACTATATTTTTCTGGTGAATGAATTTGTTTTAACAATTCTTTACTATTTAAGAAGTTTGCTCATTCTAATTTTGAACTGAACACGTATTAGATCATTTATTCATTATATTCGTATTATTATTACTCCATCAAAACTTTGCATGACTGAAACTTGACTCATAATTATCTGTATAAACGCGTCATTTATCGGTCCGAATCATATCACAGAAGATCAGTACTTTTAGAAACAAAGGCCGAAGTTGACTCAAAGACTCGGAAAAAACCGAATTCTTCGAAATATGTTCATTTTAGAAAAATTATGGAAGTATCGTATAAATAGACAAGATGTAATCGAGCTTTTGTAAGTCAAAAATTGCATTTCTATTCAAAATAAAAACCAATTACGTGATCAAACTTTATGCAATTAGTTCTGATCCTGTGGAATTTCAAAAACTTGATCGCGATGCTAGTCCCGCGCGATCTGGATTGCTACCGTGTATGTCTAGCTACGACAGTCCTCTTTTCTCTCATTTTTCTATTCATTAAAATGTCGCTAAAATCGAAGTAGGAAAATAATTTAAAATCAGAAGAAAATCTTAAAAATCAGCTCTTGAACTCAAGAGAATTTTCTTATTTTATCGTTGAATCATGCACATGCAACGAAACACAAGGCAAATGGACTATAGAGTTTATAGTCGTTGGAATCTAGGCACTTTACTATGCGGCTTCGATACTTTTTCCAAAAGCATCTGTTCGTGTCTGCAATAGATGTAGACGAAATTCTTCAATGATGAAAGACTTCATGATCATCGGATTAACCGGTGCAATTCGGGTAGATCTAGTGTGAAAACACAATTTTTCCACAAGCTGCAAAAGTTATATGATTTTTGACCGGTGTTGGGATAGAGATAGTTGAAATTTTCGGGTAGGAATGGAGCGACTGAAAAATATCTGTTGCTTGATGATCATTTTTTTCGTTACTAGTCACGATTAAATTTTCATGGCATAATTTGAATAAATTATTTCCACTTCATTTTCGATAGACATTGTCAAATACGATCGAATTCGAATCGCGAATAGTTAATGATTCTTGATTAATTTAGACAATATTATATTCGTACAATAAGTAAATGAAGCTTTTGATAATCTTCCTCGTCAAAATAATCATCGATGGTATTATAAAGATGATCTGTTGTTAATTGTACTTGAAATTCTTTCATCCGAAGAACATCTGCGTCTTTGCACAATTTCTCCATCGGATCATCATTGATTATTGGCGACGGCTGGGGAGCGAAGAATAGAACCCATGAAACGAGTACAATCCATGGCATAGTTCAATGGTTCTTGCATATGAGAATGTCATATGATGTCAATCTAAAAATGAAATGATGAGGTAGAGAAAGAGATGGTATTTTATAACTCTTGATGATAATACTGCATAGATTGGAGGCACGAAATTATAGTAATTTTTTATTAACTTTCAATCTGTAGCAACCACTTTAGATTCTATAAGAACTTCAAATGCATGAAAAACTTTCTGCTTTTCTATTTTCCTCGAGAATACAAAAGTTCAATAGATTGGCTCTTGTATCGCAAAAATTTTCTCGCCGACACTCAGAAAAAGTTATCGGCTCACATCTCTACAAACATCTTATATATATGCTGCTCATATGAGCTTGGTACACCAACGAAACACATGGAAAAAATAATCTTTTTCAAGTGGATCAAAACTTTACATGCAGCCTTGATGATTATATCATACGAAATGTAAAAATGAACCAATAAAAGTATGCGTGAGACTGATCAATTTAAAAAAAACGCCACTCTTTTTCGTGTTTATTCTTTGCAATTCTTTTTTTCTTCTTTTTAGAATTTTTCATCATTCGAAATTCAAAGGAAACTCGACTGCTCTTCTCTTTTTTTTCTCTCGTTTGTGCCGCGTTGTCAGCGGAAAGAAAAGCTTCAATGCACAACCATCGTACAATGTTTCTTTTTTTCCTATCAAAACACATTCAACATCGTTCCGACAAGAAAGACAAAATACATGAAGTTCGAATCGTAATCTAACGAACTCTTACTCGATCTATTTGAGTTTCTCGATGCCGTTCATCTCTTTCGGGCTTTTCATTATCTGAATACTCACTTCGACACATTACTCTTGATTCATTACCAAAATTATCATCTCGATTTTTGCTCGATATCCAAACGTGACTTTCATTGGATGTGCGAACAACATCTACCACGCATTGTCGATCGTGTCATTTCGCTCTATCTCTCAGACGATGATGAAACTCCAAATATAGTTTATTATTTTCTTTCTTATCGTTTTAAGTTTGAAAGATTCATTCATTTGCGATCACTTTCACTCGTTAGAATTAGATCCATTCGAACAATTAACGCACTATTGACAGAACCTCTGTCTTTTTCTCATCTTACTCATCTGAAACGGAACAAATGTTCCGTTGGAATGACAAATGATTTGATTTGTTTTATCACAAATATCTGGTGTCTACCAAAACTAATGCAGTGTGATCTCAATGAAACTAATCTATGTAGTTTGATCTTCACAAAACTCTCTGTTATGTCTTCATCCATTCAATATTTATCTATAAAAGACTGCGACTTTTCTCCAAATCATCTCATCGATCTATTCGAACATACACCTTGTGTGCGACATCTGGATATGACCGTTTTGTTCGATGTGAAACCTGAAAAACCCCTAATTGCACCTCTACAGATCAGATCATTGCATATTTGCATCCGTTGTTTATCATAATCGATAATAAGGTATCTTTTACCAAACATGCCCGATTCACGTAGTTTAACTGTCGAAATCTGGAATTTTTACTTGGATGGAGATCACTGGAAAGAAAACATTATGAATTATTCCCCCAAAATAGAACGTTTCCGATTTCGAATGTATTTCACAGATTCAAATGATACGAATAAGGAAGAGTTTACTGATAATCTATTGGATACATTTCAAACTCCGTTTTGGCTCGATGAACATCGCTGGTTTGTTCGATGTCAATGGAATTCGACGTCTGATAACAAAGTTCTTTATAGTTTACCGTATAGTTTCGAGGATTATTTTTTTCAACAACAAGTGCATCATGTCAAATCTACATGTCTGATTGATGAGAAATATCTTTCGTATAATTGTGTGCGTCAAATTCAATCCGAAATCACATCGGATTACCGTTCATCGGTTCTTATTCACTTTTCCAACATTGAATCACTAGAAATAGAGATGCCCACCAGTGAAAATCTTTGGTCTCTCGTAGCC